ACATAATACAGGAACAAAAAGAAATAAAAAGACGCTGGAGGCAATACATCGAATAGTTATACAAAAGAGATAAGGGAATGAATGATATTTGGAATGAGGAGCCATATGAAGATGAACTCCAAATTCTGAGAAGTGAAGTGGAATCCACAATAAAGGAAATGGGAAAAAATAAATCACCGGGAACAGATGATATCCCAATTGAACTGATACAGTGCCTACAGACAGATGCAACTTTAGTGCTAACTAAAATATGCCAACAACTGTGGAAAACAAAGCGGTGGCCAACAGACTGGAAACGCTCAAAACCAATCCACAAGAAAGGAGATAGGAAAGACTGCAGCAACTATAGGACAATAGCACTAATCTCACATGCAGGCAAAATAATGCTTAAATAGCATAGACTCCAACCAAGATGGAGAGAGAAATTCCAGAGGTGCAAGCAAGATTCAGAAGGAAGGGGCAGCAGGGACCACATTGCAAACATACAATGGCTAATGGAGCACACCAAAGAATTCCAAAAAAAGAATCAGCATGTGTTTCATAGACTACAGCAAAGCATTGGATTGTATAGATCACAAAAAACTATGGAATGCACTCAAAGACATGGGTGTGCCACTACATCTGATAGTCTTGATGAGGAGTCTTTTCCAAGGACAAGACACCACTGTCAGAACAGAATTCAGGGAAACAGAGTGGTTCCCAATAGGAAAAGGGGTCAGGCAAGGCTGCATCCTATCATCCTACTTGTTCAAGATATATGTTGAAAAATATAATAAGAAAAGCAGAATTAGAAACAGAAAAAGGAGGAGTTAAAACAAGAGGAAACAACATTAACAACCTAAGATATGTGAACAACACTATATTATTAGCAGAAGACATTCATGAATTGGAGCAGTTAATAAGGAAGGTCAAAGATGGAAGTGCAAAGGCAGGTCTGATGCTGAACATAAAGAAAACAAAAATAATGACCAAAGAAGAAATGCACAAATTCAATCTAGATAATGAGGAAATTGAAATACAGTTGCTCCTCCAAAACCATGGACTTGGGATCTGCGGTTTTGATTATTCATGAAAGGGCGACCTCCATTTTAATGAATGGGGTGTGCACCCTGATGGGATCATGCCCAATTCAAGACTATGGGGCTTGAATATGTGAGGTTTTCTTTTTCACAGGGGCATCTGGAACAGATTCCCCTGTAAAAAAGGAGGGGTGATTGTAGTTAAAGTATTCCCATATCTAGGATCAAACATTGAGCAGAATGGAGACTGCAGTCAAGAAAAAAGAAGAAGACTGGAAATGGGAAGGGCAGCTATAAAAGAACTGGAAAAGATACTGAAGAGCAAAGACACACAACTGAGCACTAAAGTCAGAATTGTCCAGGCCACTGTATTCTCAATTACCATGTA